TCCTCTCTACGCTGAGCTGAGGCAGCTCAGGAACACTCAAAGACGCTTTGGAGGCTCGTTTATACCTTCAGCCATCAGATTCCATAACTATATCTTTAAATTGCACATGTACAGTTTAGTTTTTTAGTCATACGCTGCTCAAAATATTTTGCACACCATTTTACTGTGCTGTATATAGTGTATATATTTTTCAATATAGTCTTATATTTTCCATTATATTTTTGCAAAACATTCCTATTTGCTGCTGTGTCCAATTTCTGTCCCTGTACGAGGGATCAATAAAGGAAGGTCTTATCCTATCTTATCTTATGCAGGAAGCCCTAAGAATATTGCAGAAATCCTCTTGCAAGGGAGAATGGGAAAAATGTTACATATCCTCAAGCTGTGTTTATATCTTTTCGATGAAAAGATCACCAAAATGTGTTATTTGTCAAGGGTTCGCTAAACTGTATACAGTATTTATTGAAACCGTAATAAACCTAAATTAAGTTTTAGAACTAGGTTCAGGAACAAAGACCACGCCTTGCACATTTCCGCTCAAAATATACTTACGCACACCTTATTCGTTCACTCCCTCCTTGACTCAGTTTCTACATGATCTGCGTCAGACAAGAAATACAAAACAGTATGCCCTCACCAGGCCCTCATTTATCCATCAACCCTAAACCTGCCCACGGCCCTCGCCCCAAGGGCATCGACAAGAGAGGCAGACCAGTCCTCTACCATGCTGGGAGGATGGTTTGTAACAAATCCAACTACCTTAGATGCAACTCCTCAAGTTGCCGTTCACTTCACACCTGCTCCTTCTGTGGCGGAGCTCATGCAAAATCTGTCCCCATCATCCAGCCCAGTATCCGAATACGCAATCAATATAGGGTGGCTGTGGCTCAGAGGCAGAGCGGGTCGTTCCTTAATCGGAAGGTTGTGGGTTTGATCCCCGGCTCCTGGTGCCACATGTCGAAGTATCCTTGAGCAAGATACTGAACCCGAAATTGCTCCCGATGCCATGCATCGCTGTGTGAGTGTGTATGGATGTTAGTTTCTGTTCGAAGGACTTTGCCATCACTGAGTGAATGTGTGTGAAAGGGTGAATGTGGCACGTAGTGTAAAAGCGTTTTGAGTGGTCGGAAGACTAGAAAGGCGCTATACAAGTTACAGGTCCATCTACCATATCAACGCGCTCACCCCCGCCACCCAGATCGACAGTTTGCCAAATGCAGGTCATGCCAGATTCCTCCTACATATGCCACATCTTGCAGTCAGCCACCTCCGTGCCCGACATAGTTGCCTCTCATCCCCCCCATGGCTCCACAGTCCCAAGCATCAAAAGCTTAATTCCCAGCCCAGATTTCTCCATGCAATATACAACATCGACCACTCTACCTTCCCCTTCAGCATAGCCAAGGAGCCCGGTCGTCCAAAACAGACATCACCAGTGCAGTTAAAATCCTTCCCATCCATCCCGACTACCGGCATCTCTTTGGCATTCTCTGAAAGGGCGCATACTACTTTGCCATGCCCCTGACCTTAGTGTGCAAGAGCAGTGTAACCCTCATTGAAATGTGATAAATATAAGTAATTGATAAAAATGCATAAATAACTTAATTCATTAAAATGCATTCATGTAAGAATCAATACATAACTGTTTAACTTTAATTTAATGGAAACAGTTAAAAGTATGGCTGTAAGAAACTCTCATGAACTTCCCCTTTAAAAGAGTTGCTGCCCTTTGTTGACATAGCGGACATAACGGAATGCGGAGCAGAGAGGAGAAGCAGAGAAATAAACGAGCGAAATACTTTAATAAAAAGTCGATTTTGAAGCTAAAAAGTAACACCTGCCTGGTCAGGGATTCATACGGTGGCCTAGAGGTGTCAGGCAGAATACAAAAGCCACAACACGAATACAAAAGCTACAACATGAAAACAAAAGCCACAACACGAATACAAAAGCCACAACACAAATACAAAAGCTACAACACGAATACAAAAGCCACAACACGAATACAAAAGCCACAACACGAATACAAAAGCCACAACAAAAATACAAAAGCTACAACACGAATACAAAAGCCACAACACGAATACAAAAGCCACAACACGAATACAAAAGCCACAACACGAATACAAAAGCTACAACACGAATACAAAAGCCACAACACGAATACAAAATCCACAACACAAATACAAAAGCTACAACACGAATACAAAAGCCACAACACGAATACAAAAGCCACAACGGAAGTGAGCCACAACACGAATACAAATGCCACAAGGAAGTGAGCCACAACGGAAGTGAATGGTAACAGATTTTTATTTTTTTAACACATGGCTAATTTTAATATTCAAATGAGCCATGTGTTGATTGCCACAACACTGCCCCACCAGGCTGTCTTTGTGTATTTGTGTTGTGACTTTTGTATTTGTGTTATGACTTTTGTATTTGTGTTGTGGCTTTTGTATTTGTGTTGTGACTTTTGTATTTGTGTTGTGGCTTTTGTATTTGTGTTGTGACTTTTTGTGTTGTGACTTTTGTATTTGTGTTGTGGCTTTTGTATTTGTTTTGTGGCTTTTGTATTCATGTTGTGGCTTTTGTATTCAGCCTGATACCTCTGGGCCACCGTAGATTCATGAGGATTTTATATGAGTAAACCACAGCGGTTTTGGTCAGGTTTTTTGTTGTTCCTGTTTGAAGCTGGACTTCACAATACATACATATATACAATGCATATTCAAGATACGAGATGGCGTACCAACCCATGGACCCATGAAGTTTCTATCAGTTATCATCATCAGTCACTACTATTAGTGCAGTTGTTGCTACTGTTGTTGCTGTGCACCTTTGTCTCTGTCTCTGTCCTGTCGTTACCTCTTTTCTCTCTCTCTTTCTGTCTCTCTCTGTCTGTCTGTGTCTCTCTCTCTTTCACCCCAACTGGTCGAGGCAGAGGACCACCCACCTAGAGCCGGGGTCTGTCCGAGGTTTCTGCCTTTTAAAAGGAAGTTTTTCCTTGCCGCTGTCGCCAAGGTCTTGCTCATGGTGGGAACTATTGGGTCTCTGTAAATAATGTTATAAGGTGTACGGTCTAGACCTGCTCTATTTGAAAAGTGTCCTGAGATAACTTCTGTTATGAATTGGCGCTATACAAATAAAATTTAATCGTGCCAGAAAGAATCCGCTGTGTACGGGTGGACTGTTGGTAAACTCGCTGCCAGAGCAGTAGAAGTGTTGGGGTTATTATTTTTCCCCTTTTCCCTCTTTGAATTGAACTGAACTGAACTGAACTGAAATTCAAGAGTGGAACTGAACTTGAACAGAATTTCTATTCCATATTCTGTCTTCATAATTGTGAAAGTTATTATTTAAAGCATAAGTGTTTCACTTGACTGAGATTTTTGGAAATGGTGTAATTATTATTTTTTTCTTACTTGTAAAGGGCAGAAAAAAGTGTTAACTCAAGGAGATAGAAAGAAACCAAAAATAGGTGCAACCTTTTAACATAAGATAAGATAGTTACTTATTGACCGGTCTAATATAAAAATATATCTAAATATCTAAACTAGTGCTGTCAGTTTAACGCGTTATTAACGGCGTTAACGCAAACCCATATTAACGGCGTCAATTTTTTTATCGCAAGATTAACGCCTAGCACACTTTGTAGTTTTTTTCACATGCTGTTGCAACTAGTAACGTTAGAAAAACTACAACACCACACCGGATCTAGCTAGACCGGAAACAAAACAACAGGCACGCTGCACACACTTGTTTAAGAGTAGTAGACGTTACGTTTTGAGTGGATGGCGAGCGCGAGACGCCGAAATGGATGGATGCCTTGTTGTCTGAAAATGTCAACAGGCTTGTCTGTTTGAGTAACTGGCTCAAAGCATCAAAGCAAAGAAGTAGTAGGCTTACCTTTTATTGGTGACCGTTACTGTTCATTCTTTCTGAAATAAGAGGCTGGGTTGATGAGCCTCTGGTGAATAAAGAGCAGTAGCCTGACTGCTATGTTCAAAGCAAACTTGAAGAAAGTATTAAGCCATGGTTTAACTGCATTATAGGCTGAGTCCTGTTTTACGTTACATGTGCACTTTGTAATTTTATTTTGTATCGCCCTGTTTTGATCCCTTAGAAAGGGCTGTTGAAGGGGCTGTTTGTGAGACAAAGTATTTTTTTTCACCCTTTTATTGATGGACAGTGTTACATTGTGTGAGAGATTATTTGCTCCAAGTGTGAATGTTAGTGTGAAATTGAACACTACAGTATATGCCAATGTTGTTTTCAATAAAAACAACATTTGCACAAAGCAAGCCGATCCACTTTTCTATGTTGATAAGAGAATTAAAATGAGAAAAAATAATGGGACAAAAAGAAATCAAGGGACATTTAGAATAGATAAAAATGTGCGATTAATTGCAAGTTAACTATGACATTAATGCGATTAATCGCGATTAAATATTTTAATTGTTTGACAGCACTAATCTAAACCAAAGTATTTGAAACGCATGTGAGTGAAATAAGGGAAAATGAGTCCTACTTTATTTTTTTTGTTAGTCGCAAGACTATTCACTCGGTTCCCTCCTACCATCTCGCCGTACCCCTCCGTCTATTCATCCATCCATCAACAAACCCACCTTTCTTTTATCTGTTCATACCTCACCCTTCCTTCCAATACCCCTTCATTCCTCAATCTTCATCCCTTCATCCCTTTATCCCTACATTCCTCAACTCTCAACCCTTCATCCCTTATCCCTTCATCCCTCAACCCTCAACCCCTTTCCCTCATCCCTTGACCCTCATACCTTCAACCCTTTATCCCTCAACCCTTTCCCAATCCATTCATCAGTCCTAAAGTACACCACATCAGTTTAGATTCATCCATTACGTGCAATTCCAATTCCATACGTTCATTGGCGTGGTCTTTGTAAGTGAAATATGAAATGGGTACTATATGTGCTTAGGCACATTCATGCTCATGAGATGTCTTTTTTCCCCCTCTCCTATAGTCTCCTATAGTATTATTTTCTTGAGCTCATCATCACCTGCTGCAGGTCAGTCCATTCTCTTTTGTGATACAATTTTTTCATGTATGTTTTCATATGTTACTTTGAAGTATCAAACACATTTTTTATTAGGATTAAATATTAAAATATTAATATATATATTACTAATTTGTACATGCCTGATAGGTGTGCTGATCAGATTAGATGGGCCTGGGTCTACTCTGTGCTCTGGAAGAGTTGAAATCTATTACAACAACACCTGGGGAACCGTCTGTGATGACTACTGGGACTTAAATGATGCTATGGTGGTGTGCAGAGAGTTGGGCTGTGGTACTGCACTGAGTGTCCCTAAATTTGGTCAAGGAATCGGACAAATCTGGCTTGATGATGTGGCCTGTTTAGGAAGTGAAAGGTCTCTAGCTGAGTGTCAGCACAGAGAATTTGGGAAAAACAACTGTGGACATGGTGAGGATGCTGGTGTGGTCTGTTCAGGTGAGAAGATTTTTTATATGGTGCCTCATCTTTAAATTAAGTAATAAAGTTCAGATTTGTGCAGTTTCCTGCATGCTACCTGTATCCATCAGTTCAAATTGCTCTGGCTTTATCTCTGCTGTTCATGCCATTGTTTCCACTGCAGTTCCAGTAAGGGGAGAATTAGACAGGAAAATACTAAGTGATAATATGTAAATATGTAGAACATAACATGCATAACAATATAATACTGTGCTAAAGCCACCAGAACAATATTGGATAATATGAATCATAATAATAACAATTAAAATAAATTAAAGTGTATACACAATTTAAGGAATATTACAATAACTAATGAATATTTATAGTAATTAAAATAGTGGATATAAGAAAGTACCTTATGGTGAGTGTGAATGCAAGAGTGCATATGTTTTGGATAGTTAGGAGCGGACAATTTGTGGCTGTTTAATGAACTGTGGATGATACATGTTACCTGCTGCAGGTCCATCCATTCTCCTGTGTGTTGTATACAATTCCTGTAAATTTCCATACTGTATATGATTTGTGTAAAATATGTCTTATGTGCCTCATAGATAGTCAGATAAGATTAGCTGGGTCTGGATCTACTCAATGTTCTGGAAGAGTTGAAATCTATCACAGTGGCTCCTGGGGAACAGTCTGTGATGACAGCTGGGACTTAAATGATGCTATGGTGGTGTGCAGACAGTTGGGCTGTGGTCCGACTCTGAGTGCCCCTCAGTCGGCCCACTTTGGTCAAGGAACTGGACATATCTGGCTTGATGATGTGGACTGTTCAGGAAGTGAAAGGTCTCTAAATGAGTGTCAGCATGGAGAATTTGGGACACACAACTGTGGACACCATGAGGACGCTGGTGTGGTCTGCTCAGGTGAGAAGACATTTTTATTTGAAAGAACTCACGTCCTTAAATTAGGAAATGAACTTGCGCTCCGGGGGGGTGGTTCAGCGAAAAGAGGAGGCGTGTTCCGGCGCAAACGTTCCCTGGTGCTATTTTGCTGTTTCAGAAAACAATTCTGCCACAGACCAGGTAAAACCTAATCTAAAGTCAGTGGCGCTTATTCAGATGCTATTTTAAGGGCGCAGACTTGAGGGGATTCGCCTGAGAGGCAGCAGCAACATCGCCACCCGGTCAAGACGGGCATTAATACTTTGCCGCATCCTGGACAGCTCCCGCTCCAGCATGTCAAACCCGGTTTGCTGCAGGAACGGGTGGTCCTCCGGCGTGTAGTGGGTCTGAATCCTCTGCACCTTGGTGTTTGCGCTGCTCCCTCCTCAGCTGGCCCTTGCGCACTGCTCGGCCCGTGCGCACTGCTCCTGAGGCCAGGGTCTTCTTCCTGCGAAGCTGCGTTACATTGTTTTGATTTATTGTATGGCTGTGTTACATTTACCACACCTCTGACTAATGTAGCTACTTCAGACCAACCCATTTTAGATGTGCGCCGGGCACAAGAATCATTTAACCCGCTGGCATAATAGCAACAGCGCCCGAGATCCGCCCACAAAGCTACTTGCGTTTTACGTTTGATACTTGCGTTTAAGCTCGGCAAGATAGGGCCCTTATAGTCTAAATGAGAGGAGATAAAAACATAGACAACTTTCTCAAAACCCTAAGATGATCATGATTAACTCATATAAGACCATTTTGGTTTTTATGTGAAAATACTTTTCGTCTTTAGCAAGTAACTAAATGTAACAGAAAAAAACATCTTTGCATCTTTAATTGGTGATTCAAACTTCTCCCAAACACTTTTTATTTATGCTACATAGACAAATCCTGAATATAGTGAAAACAGTTAGCTGGCTGGATAACCTCAACTTGTTGTGTTAACATTTTTGTACTGCTCATTATGTTCACAGCCACATGTATACCTCTGTCTACCTCTCCATTAGGTGTGCAGATGAGATTGGCTGGGTCTGGGTCTACTCAGTGCTCTGGAAGAGTAGAAGTCCATTACAACAGTGCCTGGGGAACAGTCTGTGATGATGGTTGGGACCTAAGTGATGCTAAGGTGGTGTGCAGACAGTTGGGCTGTGGTATGGCACTGAGTGCCCCTCAGTCAGCCCACTTTGGTCAAGGAGCTGGACAAATCTGGCTTGATGACGTGGCCTGTTCAGGAACTGAAAGGTCTCTAATTGAGTGTCAGCATGGAGGATTTGGGAAACACAACTGTGGACATGGTGAGGACGCTGGTGTTGTCTGTTCAGGTGAGAAGATGTTTCTACCACTAACCTAGCTCTCTGCATCCTTTATCTCTGCTGTTCATGCAGTTGGTTCCAGAGCAGTTCTAGTGGGGAGGGGTTGGGGGCAGCATTTATGCAGAATAGCAGTATAAAGTTTTTATATTAGGGTTATGTAATATGTACTAAATATATAGAATGTACTGTATACATACATACCTACATGCATAACAATATACTATGTGCCAAAGCCAACAGAACATTTTTACAGGATAATAGCAATAATGATAATGAAAAAAACTGTATTAATATTGTAAGGAAAATAACAGGCGTTAATGACTAATAATAGTGATTATATAGAGTACCTTGAGGTAAGGCCAAAAGCTTTAGTGCATATGTTTTGGATAGTTAGGAACTCAGGATTTGTGGCTGTTTAATGAACTGTGCATCAGACATGTTAGCTGCTGTAGGTTCGCCCATTCTCCTGTGTGATACAAACAATTCCTGTAGTTTTCCATATATGATGTGTGTAAAATATGTATTATGTGCCTCATAGGTGGTCAGATCAGATTAGTTGGGTCTAGCCGATGTTCTGGAACAGTTGAAATCTATTACAACGGAGCGTGGGGAACAGTCTGTGATGACAGCTGGGACTTAAATGATGCTAAGGTGGTGTGCAGACAGTTGGGCTGTGGTACGGCTCTGAGTGCCCCTCAGTCAGCCCACTTTGGTCAAGGAACCGGACAAATCTGGCTTGATGATGTGGTTTGTTCAGGAAGTGAAAGGTCTCTAAGTGAGTGTCAACACAGAGGATTTGGGATACACAACTGTGGACACGGTGAGGACGCTGGTGTTGTCTGTTCAGGTGAGAAGATGTTATTTTTACTATATGGTTTCCTTAAAGTTAAGGGGCCCTCAGAATGGTAGTTAGTTTATGGTCATTTGATTAACTTCCAAATGTTTTGGTACTATGCACCAATAATGTTCCCATAGAGGACATGGGGGAGAAAAAAAACTTATATAGGTGGGAAAAGGTGGTGTTGTCTGTTCAGGTGAGAAAAGATTTTGTTGATTCTGTTGGCCTTTGACACTCAAAGCTGAGGGGCCCAGATTGGGCAAAGTGGGACGAATTTTAGCTGCCAGGCTTTTAACCAGAACCAAGAAACATAATCACATCAGTATTGTATTAGCCTCTTTACACCGGCTGTTTCAGAATTGACTGTAAGATTTGACTGATTACTAAGACTCTTTATGGCCTCCCCCCCGCTATATCTCTAACCTATGAAGACTGCATGCAGTACTTTTATCATTAAACCTTTCCAAATCTATATTCATGTACATAATGTACTTTTCTTTGGTGCAACGTAATGGCAAATGTCTAAAGTGCCTGCATTTGTATTGCATTGAACATTGAAGTCACTCTCCTCTGAGATGACTATACCAGGAGTGTCCACAAGCCAATTTAAGTTTAAGACCCCTGTTCTTGTATGTGCGTGTTGTATGATAGAATTACAACTTTTTCCCACTCTTTGGGCATCCTTGTGATATGAATACCATGAACCTTGAACCCAAAGTCTATAGCCTTTCTGCTGCTCAATTATTATGTTGTCGTTTTTTTTCAGCAAGCTTCCCAAAGCCCACCATCTCCATGAATCCTGCTGGTGAGGTTACCTGGGGTCAGAATGTTGACATCACTTGTTCAATCTCAACTCAGCATTTAAATAGAACTTTCATCCTGCTAAGATCCTCAGGCTCATTCAGAAAGACCCAAACATCGAGTACCAACTCTGCTACCTTCAGAATCCTCAAAGTCAACTTTGATGATGAGGGATCGTACCAGTGTCAGTATCAGACACAGGTTTCAGGTCAAGACTTCAGCTCCCCCTTAAGTGACTCTGTCAGACTTCCTGTTAACGGTAAGGAAAAATACATTTTCCAAACTGGCCATTCCCAGTTGCAGCTGAAAATATCCATTTATTCACTTCAATAAGAAAGGACTTGTAATAGTCCAGCCTGGAATTCTAGGCAGCTGCATTTGTATCATTCTAAAGTTGTGGTATCTTTTCAGTGAGCCTTCCAAAGCCCAGAATCTCCATGAATCCTGCCGGTGAGGTTACCTGGGGTCACAATGCCGAAATCACTTGTTCAATCTCTACTCAGCATTTGCATGGAACATTCATCCTACGGAAGACCTCAGGCTCATTCAGACAGACCCAAACATGTAGTAACAACTCTGCTACCTTCATTATCCCTGAAGTGAACTTTGATAATGGAGGATCGTACCAGTGTCAGTATCAGACACAAGTTTCAAGTCGTGACTTCAGCTCCCCCTTAAGTGACTCTGTCAGACTCTCTGTTACTGGTAAGGAAAAATACATTATCCAATCTTGCTTTTTTAGTTAACTTTTTAAGCACAAAATGACAAGAAGTTAAACATCTAGTACCAACTCTGCTACCTTCAGTATCCTCAAAGTCAGCTTTGATGATGAGGGATCGTACCAGTGTCAGTATCAGACACAGGTTTCAAGTCGTGACTTCAGCTCCCCCTTAAGTAACTCTGTCAGACTTCCTGTTACTTGTAAGGAAAAATACATTTTCCAAACTGGCCATTCCCAGTTGCAGCTGAAAATATCAATTTATTCAACATTGATAAGAAAGGGCTTGTAATAGTCCAGCCGGGAATTCTAGGCAGCTGCATTTGTATCATTCTAACATTGTGGTATCTTTTCAGTGAGCCTTCCAAAGCCCAGAATCTCCATGAATCCTGCTGGTAAGGTTACCTGGGGTCACAATGCCGGCATCACTTGTTCAATCTCTACTCAGCATTCAGATGGAACATTCATCCTACAGAAGACCTCAGGCTCATTCAGAAAGACCCAAACATGTAGTAACAACTCTGCTACCTTCATTATCCCTCAAGTGAACTTTGATAATGAAGGATCATACCAGTGTCAGTATCAGACACAAGTTTCAAGTCGTGACTTCAGCTCCCCCTTAAGTGACTCTGTCAGACTCTCTGTTACTGGTAAGGAAAAACACATTACCCAATCTTTCTTTTTTTAGTTAACTTTTTAAGCACAAAATGACAAGAAGTTAAACATCTAGTACCAACTCTGCTACCTTCAGTATCCTCAAAGTCAGCTTTGATGATGAGGGATCGTACCAGTGTCAGTATCAGACACAGGTTTCAGGTCAAGACTTCAGCTCCCCCTTAAGTAACTCTGTCAGACTTCCTGTTAACGGTAAGGAAAAATAAATTTTCCAAACTGGCCATTCCCAGTTGCAGCTGAAAATATCCATTTATTCACTTCAATAAGAAAGGACTTGTAATAGTCCAGCCTGGAATTCTAGGCAGCTGCATTTGTATCATTCTAAAGTTGTGGTATCTTTTCAGTGAGCCTTCCAAAGCCCAGAATCTCCATGAATCCTGCCGGTGAGGTTACCTGGGGTCACAATGCCGAAATCACTTGTTCAATCTCTACTCAGCATTTGCATGGAACATTCATCCTACGGAAGACATCAGGCTCATTCAGACAGACCCAAACATGTAGTAACAACTCTGCTACCTTCATTATCCCTGAAGTGAACTTTGATAATGGAGGATCGTACCAGTGTCAGTATCAGACACAAGTTTCAAGTCGTGACTTCAGCTCCCCCTTAAGTGACTCTGTCAGACTCTCTGTTACTGGTAAGGAAAAACACATTACCCAATCTTGCTTTTTTAGTTAACTTTTTAAGCACAAAATGACAAGAAGTTAAACATCTAGTACCAACTCTGCTACCTTCAGTATCCTCAAAGTCAGCTTTGATGATGAGGGATCGTACCAGTGTCAGTATCAGACACAGGTTTCAAGTCATGACTTCAGCTCCCCCTTAAGTGACTCTGTCAGACTTCCTGTTACTTGTAAGGAAAAATACATTTTCCAAACTGGCCATTCCCAGTTGCAGCTGAAAATATCAATTTATTCAACATTGATAAGAAAGGGCTTGTAATAGTCCAGCCGGGAATTCTAGGCAGCTGCATTTGTATCATTCTAACATTGTGGTATCTTTTCAGTGAGCCTTCCAAAGCCCAGAATCTCCATGAATCCTGCTGGTAAGGTTACCTGGGGTCACAATGCCGGCATCACTTGTTCAATCTCTACTCAGCAATCAGATGGAACATTCATCCTACAGAAGACCTCAGGCTCATTCAGAAAGACCCAAACATGTAGTAACAACTCTGCTACCTTCATTATCCCTCAAGTGAACTTTGATAATGAAGGGATCGTACCAGTGTCAGTATCAGACACAAGTTTCAAGTCGTGACTTCAGCTCCCCCTTAAGTGACTCTGTCAGACTCTCTGTTACTGGTAAGGAAAAATACATTACCCAATCTTGCTTTTTCAGTTAACTTTTTAAGCACAAAATGACAAGAAGTTAAAGAGTTAAACCTCAGCTCAAAGGCAGTATATCATTCTAACTTTGTGTTATTTTGACAGTGACCCTCCCCAGGCCCACCATCTCCATTAATCCTGCTGGTGAGGTTACCTGGGGTCAGGATGTTGGCATCACTTGTTCAATCTCAACTCAGCATTTAGGTGGAACATTAATCCTGCAGAAGACCTCGGGTTTAATCACAAAGACCCAAAGATCTAGTACCAACTCCACTACCTTCAGAATCGCCAATGTCAACATTGATAATGAGGGATCGTACCGGTGTCAGTATCAGACACAGGTTTCAGGTCAAGACTTCAGCTCCCCCTTAAGTGACTCTGTCAGACTCTCTATTACTGGTAAGGAAAAATACATTTTCCAAACTGGCCATTCCCAGTTGAAGCTGAAAATATCCATTTATTCAACTTTGATAAGAAAGGGCTTGTAATAGTCCAGCTGGGAATTCTAGGCAGCTGCATTTGTATCATTCTAATGTTGTGGTATCTTTTCAGTGAGCCTTCCAAAACCCAGAATCTCCATGAATCCTGCCAGTGAGGTTACCTGGGGTCACAATGCCGGCATCACTTGTTCAATCTCTACTCAGCATTCAGATGGAACATTCATCCTACAGAAGACCTCAGGCTCATTCAGAAAGACCCAAACATGTAGTAACAACTCTGCTACCTTCATTATCCCTCAAGTGAATTTTGATAATGGAGGATCGTACCAGTGTCAGTATCAGACACAAGTTTCAAGTCGTGACTTCAGCTCCCCCTTAAGTGACTCTGTCAGACTCTCTGTTACTGGTAAGGAAAAACACATAACCCAATCTTTCTTTTTTTAGTTAACTTTTTAAGCACAAAATGACAAGAAGTTAAACATCTAGTACCAACTCTGCTACCTTCAGTATCCTCAAAGTCAGCTTTGATGATGAGGGATCGTACCAGTGTCAGTATCAGACACAGGTTTGAAGTCATGACTTCAGCTCCCCCTTAAGTGACTCTGTCAGACTTCCTGTTACTTGTAAGGAAAAATACATTTTCCAAACTGGCCATTCCCAGTTGCAGCTGAAAATATCAATTTATTCAACATTGATAAGAAAGGGCTTGTAATAGTCCAGCCGGGAATTCTAGGCAGCTGCATTTGTATCATTCTAACATTGTGGTATCTTTTCAGTGAGCCTTCCAAAGCCCAGAATCTCCATGAATCCTGCTGGTAAGGTTACCTGGGGTCACAATGCCGGCATCACTTGTTCAATCTCTACTCAGCATTCAGATGGAACATTCATCCTACAGAAGACCTCAGGCTCATTCAGAAAGACCCAAACATGTAGTAACTCTGCTACCTTCATTATCCCTCAAGTGAACTTTGATAATGAAGGATCGTACCAGTGTCAGTATCAGACACAAGTTTCAAGTCGTGACTTCAGCTCCCCCTTAAGTGACTCTGTCAGACTCTCTGTTACTGGTAAGGAAAAATACATTACCCAATCTTGCTTTTTCAGTTAACTTTTTAAGCACAAAATGACAAGAAGTTAAAGAGTTAAACCTCAGCTCAAAGGCAGTATATCATTCTAACTTTGTGTTATTTTGACAGTGACCCTCCCCAGGCCCACCATCTCCATTAATTCTGCTGGTGAGGTTACCTGGGGTCAGGATGTTGGCATCACTTGTTCAATCTCAACTCAGCATTTAGGTGGAACATTAATCCTGCAGAAGACCTCGGGTTTAATCACAAAGACCCAAAGATCTAGTACCAACTCCACTACCTTCAGAATCGCCAATGTCAACATTGATAATGAGGGATCGTACCGGTGTCAGTATCAGACACAGGTTTCAGGTCAAGACTTCAGCTCCCCCTTAAGTGACTCTGTCAGACTCTCTGTTACTGGTAAGGAAAAATACATTTTCCAAACTGGCCATTCCCAGTTGAAGCTGAAAATATCCATTTATTCAACTTTGATAAGAAAGGGCTTGTAATAGTCCAGCCGGGAATTCTAGACAGCTGCATTTGTATCATTCTAATGTTGTGGTATCTTTTCAGTGAGCCTTCCAAAGCCCAGAATCTCCATGAATCCTGCCAGTGAGGTTACCTGGGGTCACAATGCCGGCATCACTTGTTCAATCTCTACTCAGCATTCAGATGGAACATTCATCCTACAGAAGACCTCAGGCTCATTCAAACAGACCCAAACATGTAGTAACAACTCTGCTACCTTCATTATCCCTCAAGTGAACTTTGATAATGAAGGATCGTACCAGTGTCAGTATCAGACACAAGTTTCAAGTCGTGACTTCAGCTCCCCCTTAAGTGACTCTGTCAGACTCTCTGTTACTGGTAAGGAAAAATACATTACCCAATCTTGCTTTTTTAGTTAACTTTTTAAGCACAAAATGACAAGAAGTTAAAGAGTTAAACCTCAGCTCAAAGGCAGTATATCATTCTAACTTTGTGTTATTTTGACAGTGACCCTCCCCAGGCCCACCATCTCCATTAATCCTGCTGGTGAGGTTACCTGGGGTCAGGATGTTGGCATCACTTGTTCAATCTCAACTCAGCATTTAGGTGGAACATTAATCCTGCAGAAGACCTCGGGTTTAATCACAAAGACCCAAAGATCTAGTACCAACTCCACTACCTTCAGAATCGTCAATGTCAACATTGATAATGAGGGATCGTACCGGTGTCAGTATCAGACACAGGTTTCAGGTCAAGACTTCAGCTCCCCCTTAAGTGACTCTGTCAGACTCTCTGTTACTGGTAAGGAAAAATTCATTTTCCAAACTGGCCATTCCCAGTTGAAGCTGAAAATATCCATTTATTCAACTTTGATAAGAAAGGGCTTGTAATAGTCCAGCCGGGAATTCTAGGCAGCTGCATTTGTATCATTCTAATGTTGTGGTATCTTTTCAGTGAGCCTTCCAAAGCCCAGAATCTCCATGAATCCTGCCGGTGAGGTTACCTGGGGTCACAATGCCGGCATCACTTGTTCAATCTCTACTCAGCATTCAGATGGAACATTCATCCTACAGAAGACCTCAGGCTCATTCAGAAAGACCCAAACATGTAGTAACAACTCTGCTACCTTCATTATCCCTCAAGTGCATTTTGATAATGGAGGATCGTACCAGTGTCAGTATCAGACACAAGTTTCAAGTCGTGACTTCAGCTCCCCCTTAAGTGACTCTGTCAGACTCTCTGTTACTGGTAAGGAAAAACACATTACCCAATCTTTCTTTTTTTAGTTAACTTTTTAAGCACAAAATGACAAGAAGTTAAACATCTAGTACCAACTCTGCTACCTTCAGTATCCTCAAAGTCAGCTTTGATGATGAGGGGTCGTACCAGTGTCAGTATCAGACACAGGTTTGAAATCATGACTTCAGCTCCCGCTTAAGTAACTCTGTCAGACTTCCTGTTACTTGTAAGGAAAAATACATTTTCCAAACTGGCCATTCCCAGTTGAAGCTGAAAATATCAATTTATTCAACATTGATAAGAAAGGGCTTGTAATAGTCCAGCCGGGAATTCTAGGCAGCTACATTTGTATCATTCTTACGTTGTGGTATCTTTTCAGTGAGCCTTCCAAAGCCCAGAATCTCCATGAATCCTGCTGGTGAGGTTACCTGGGGTCACAATGCCGGCATCACTTGTTCAATCTCTACTCAGCATTCAGATGGAACATTCATCCTACAGAAGACGTCAGGCTCATTCAGAAAGACCCAAACATGTAGTAACAACTCTGCTACCTTCATTATCCCTCAAGTGAACTTTGATAATGAAGGATCGTACCAGTGTCAGTATCAGACACAAGTTTCAAGTCGTGACTTCAGCTCCCCCTTAAGTGACTCTGTCAGACTTTCTGTTACTGGTAAGGAAAAATACATTACCCAATCTTGCTTTTTTAGTTAACTTTTTAAGCACAAAATGACAAGAAGTTAAAGAGTTACAGCTCAGCTCAAAGGCAGTATATCACTCTAACTTTGTGTTATTTTGACAGTGAGCCTCCCCAGGCCCACCATCTCTATTAATCCTGCTGGTGAGGTTACCTGGGGTCAGGATGTTGGCATCACTTGTTCAATCTCAACTCAGCATTTAGGTGGAACATTAATCCTGCAGAAGACCTCAGGTTTAATCACAAAGACCCAAAGATCTAGTACCAACTCCGCTACCTTCAGAATCGTCAATGTCAACATTGATAATGAGGGATCGTACCAGTGTCAGTATCAGACACAGGTTTCAGGTCAAGACTTCAGCTCCCCCTTAAGTGACTCTGTCAGACTCTCTGTTACTGGTAAGGAAAAATACATTTTCCAAACTGGCCATTCCCCAAACTGGCCATTCCCAGTTGCAGCTGAAAATATCAATTTATTCAACTTTGATAAGAAAGGGCTTGTAATAGTCCAGCCGGGAATTCTAGGCAGCTGCATTTGTATCATTCTTACGTTGTGGTATCTTTTCAGTGAGCCTTCCAAAGCCCAGAATCTCCATGAATCCTGCTGGTGAGGTTACCTGGGGTCACAATGCCGGCATCACTTGTTCAATCTCTACTCAGCATTCAGATGGAACATTCATCCTACAGAAGACCTCAGGCTCATTCAGAAAGACCCAAACATGTAGTAACAACTCTGCTACCTTCAGAATCGTCAATGTCAGCATTGATAATGAGGGATCGTACCGGTGTCAGTATCAGACACAGGTTTCAGGTCAAGACTTCAGCTCCCCCTTAAGTGACTCTGTCAGACTCTCTGTTACTGGTAAGGAAAAATTATTTTTCCAATGTAGATTTCTTTCTTTTAAATTTAGTGTAAATTACAATATGTTAGAGTGTACAGAGAAAAGTGGTCAATTTCTTCAATTGCAGTAAGTAACTTGGGGTAAGCAGGCTTGGAAATTAACAGATTTCCTGTAATGGAGTTTTTATGATCCTGTGGTCACGTTATGTGCCAGCACATTATGTGCAGACCACACTGTAAAAATCTCACAATGATGATTGCCATACTATACTTATTTTCTGTTGCCAGGAGGTGACGCTAGGACTATGACTGAACATTAGCACATAGATGTGTTCAGAGATGCCTGCATGTCTGTCTGCCGTGCTGCTACAGAAGATTTTGTGAAAATTCTTCAGCACTTAGAATCACGGGGCCTTTTTGTTTTGGTGAGAAATCATGGGTGTAATGGGATACCTTGGCGGCATACCTAGAGCTGATACATTTGGTCAGCAGCTCGTATTGGCTGAGATAGAAGTTCAGGTGGAAAATGTAGTTGGGGAAAGAAACTACCAGCTGATCTGTCTTGCTCCTTCTGAGAATGAATATGAGGGCTTATGAAGTGTGGATGATGATGTTGGATAAACTGGGATGTTGAGAAGGGTTACAGGGTTGTATAAGTTGGGGCAAAATTTGGGGCACCTCAGAAAACAATGCGAACGGATGCAGAGGCTGAGAAGGTCAGAAGTGAATGGCAAGCATTTAGTTCCTGTTTTCACAAGGCTCAATGATCTAATTACATACCATAACCTTGATTTTCTGTTTCTTACTGAAACTTACTGGATAAACAAGTATTTTGATAGATTTTTTAGATTTTATTTTAATTGAGCACAGGTACCTTTCGAGGTTCCAGAAACAGAAGTGGAACCATACCTCTGCATCTGCTAGGCTGACCTGCCTCCTGACGGCCAATATCTTTACTGAGATTCCAGAAACATAGTATGACTTAGATGGGAACCATCCCTCTGCACCTGCTTTGTAGCCCTTTATCATCCCTCTAAGCTAAAAGTGGCAAACTTTTTGTGTTCCATGAGGAAATAGAGTATGACAACCTTGGTGCAGAAGATGGCATCACCAAGAAGGCACGAGTCAGCAGCCCTTAGGGGACATCCACAGTGTGGACCAGAGCAGGACCACTGCAAAAGTGACTACCTGACATCAAAAATACCCCCAAAACACTGGAGTGTTTACGCACTGGCACTCATTGTTACAGACCCAAACAAGCTCTTGGTTCAGGCTTCCAACCAATACAATATGTCAAACCATGTAGATAAAAGAAAATCCTGGTACGTTTTCAGGGACCTTCCAAAAACAGGGATGATCTGATATACAATTAATTGTTCTTGGATTTGACTGATACTACTATACAATATAAGTATTGGATTTGTTTACTTCTGGTAGCAACATACTCTATAAATCAAATTTTACATACATTCAAAATGTTTCCAATAAATTTAGCCTTGTTATATGGGTTTTCTTGAGAAGATAACTTAAATATGTTTTTCTAATGTCTAGTCTGTACTTTATTGATGTTTTTTTCACCCAGTGACATTGCTGCAGCCCAGCATCAACCTGACATCTCCTAACGGAGGGTTAGTCTGGGGTCCTGAAGGTGCAGAGGTCAGCAAGGGTTACAGCTTTGTCATCACCTGCTCCATTTCCTCCTACTATCCTGGAGGTGTTTTCTCTCTCATCTTCTCTGGCTCCAACATCACTGACACCAAGCCAGCAGTCAACAATTCAGCCTCCTTCAACTTCCCTGTAGCTGAGTATGAACACCAGGGCAACTACAGTTGTGTGTATGAAGTCACACTGTCTTCAAGGAAATTCACTTCCACCATGACAGCAAAAATTAGTGCCACCATTAAATGTAAGTAGGCAGAATTTAAGCTAAGTAAAGCTATTATTTATTTAAAAAGACATCCTAAAACATATCAGCCTGCACCTACAATAAATATTATATGTCATGTCTTTTTATGATAAAATGTAGAAATTGATAAGATTATAAAATATATACATCGTATGTACAACTACATTCAAATTAGCTTTTTTTTGTCAATGTTATCACAGTCTCACAATTAATTTCTCAGATTAAAGTCAGTGATGATTTAACAGAGTCGAGGTCTCACCTATTTTTTCTGCAAGCTGTGCGCCTTTTCCTAGCAAAACTAGACAGTGAAAAGGGTCTGTTAAGATAAGATAAGATGTTCCTTTATTGATCTCTGTGGGAGAAATTCGACTTTGACACAGCAGCACAGGGAAAATGTAGTGCAAAAAGTAATGAAGTGTAAAAATACAATAAAGAATAATAAAATAAAAATATTATAAAGATATAATAAAAAAATATCAAGATCATAATGAAAATATATACACCATATGCAGTAAGAAATATGGTGTGCAAAAATATTTTAAGCAGTGTATGACTGAGTTGTTGCATAACAGGTTAAAGTTAAATCAAAGGGGGTTGGAGGTACTGTGTGCTGTGGCGTTGTGGAGTCAGATAGCTGATGGCACAAATGACCCTCTGAAGCGCTTCAAGGCACAGGACTGGATCAGTCTGTGGCTGCAAGGTCTCTTGAGCTGCCTCACTTATTTATGTTCATGATCAAAATAAAATCAATGTGAAAGGTACATACAAGACTAATGAAGGTGATGAGTTAGACTAAATCAAGAGAATTATTAGTAGGACAAACCAACGGTAGCATGCACACGTGTTTGTTTTTTTCCCTATGACAGCTCCTGTTCTTTGTAAAAACCTTCCAGAACTGTCTAAAACTTTAAACTTTGAACTAAACTTTTCAAGAATAAACTGATAAAATGTTTTTCTCTCTTAGTTCATTTGTCGCAACTGCTCTCTGTCCTTTCCTCCTTGTTGATGCTGGTCTTGGTGGTCTTGGTGATCTTGGTGGTGGTCTATCTGGTCCACAGAGAGCGACAGCGAGCCAAGCAGCCCAGAGCCCTCGTCCAAACTCAATGTCTGTGCAGCAGGACACACAGTGCATCATATGAAATTACAAACTATTTGTTTTTCATATTTTTAAGACCGATATAAATGTTTGTGTTTCACAGTGTGTAAAAGTTGTGTGGTACTCATAGAAATTATTTTAAATGCATGATACATTTTGTTCTGATGCTTGGGTTGCAGTGATTCTTGGGAACAAATGCACAGTCAAGGAGGAGGAGAAGGAGGAACATGCCACAAATATGTAGGAGCAACCAGAAGAAGGAAGTGTGAAGGAAGAGATATTTGAAGACCATTATAATTAGTGAAGAAGACAGTAACACCATAGGGTTCCATTGCACTGGAATATCTGTTAATGTAAAACACACCATTATCTACCTTCACATCTGTATACTCCCAAAATGTAAAAAGTAATGAACAAAAATATTGGTGGTTTGGGTTTTGACACACAATGACAATTGATTTCTTATTCCAAGTGACTGTGTAGTGTCCCAAACCATGCTCTAACTCCCTATTCCATGCTGTCGAACAAAGCAATAGCTTCATATTAAGATTGTTGCAATAAAGACTGAACCTGGGATGATAATGAAGAGGTTGAAATAATTTGGTTCTGTAAATGTCTGCAAATATATTGTATTCCCACATAATAAATGAGCATAGCAAATTGAAGATGCTTATTTCTTGGTAAAAGAATGTACAGTAAAACACACAGGAAGGGCATTATCTATGAAGAGAAACTAAACAGACCTGTACTTGTATAGCACCTTCCTAGTCTTCCAACCGCTCAAAGAGCTTACACACTATGTGCCACATTAACTCCATCGCACAGAAACTAATGCATTCATACACATTCACAGCATCAGGAGCAATTCGGGGTCAGTTTCTTGCTCAAGGATACTTTGACATGTGGCAGCAGGAGCCGGGGATTGAACCAACAACCTTGCGATTAGAGGACGACCTGCCCTTCCTCAGAGCCACAGCAGCCCTAAACTAATTAACTAAATGATCTTCTCAGGGGAAATGTGTCATGCCAGGATGGAATTGATGAAAAAGAAACTCAAAAAAGTATTGAAACCTGAGGGTCAAAGCACTTCCAGTTCACTGATTCACATGTGTCATTTGGGAAATGGCAAACCGTGAACCATTACCATGGTGTTCCAGATTGTAAGTTTTTGTGTTTTTACATTAGATTGATGATTTAAATACACAGTATTTTACTTTTCTTTTAGTTTTATGGAACCAGTTTTTCTGCAATTTGAGTAATTTTTCTAATATTTCAGAAACAGTTGTTTTGTTCAGTATCATGAGAACAATTCAAAAAAGTAATTAATAAGGGTGTCTGGTGGTGGTTGTGGTGCTGTAAAGAAGGATGCAGATCTCTTCTTGTTGTTTAAGCACAAGCTTTTATATGATAATTTATGGTAGAATCACTTTCCATGTCACAAAAACAGGAAGGAGGAAGGTTTTAAAAACATTTCAATATTCACTTTATTGCATCATAGTTTTCACCAAGTTTGTTTTCCTTTTTTAAACCAACTGTATTTACAACACATGAAAGACGAGTACAGTGACAAACTCAATGTTGTCAGGTGTACTGTACAAAATAATCACACCTACTAAGAAAGTATGTTTGCAGTTGATACAAAGGGTACATTTAACCACCAATTACAGATAAGGAGTAACTCCAAAATAGATATTGTTGAAAATAAAAAACAAAACCAATACAAACAGGATATAAAACAATATAATAACATAACAGGAATATACAAGTAGAGAAAGACTAGCCATTCAAATTGTAGTGCACAAAGGTTCTTTGCTTGGCCGTTTTGGACCTTGTTGAGTACAGAAAATTTTTCTTTTAGTTCATTCCACAGTGGAGGGATTTAGCAAAACAACATTTATGTATCAAGTATTTTGTTATGATGATGTTAATTTTAACAAGAAATTCAATCTGTTTGTTCTTCAAGGTGACTTCTAACTGGATACATTTGTAGGAGAGTAAATCTATATTTATGGATTTGGA